TGCTAGGTTGTATTTCTCATGACATTGTCTGTGACATTGTTGCTTATTCCCTTAGTAGCTAAAAATAGTTAAGAACTAAATGTAACATTACTGTTTTTAGAAATTTACTAGGAACAGCACTGCTCATAAAAGTTAAGATTTACTTCCATGTTTTCCAAGGAATGAAACAAGAGCAAAAATAAGCATTAATTATGCTAAATATTAATTATCAAACATCAATTATGCTAAATAATGTCATGACCCAGCTCCACCCTGTGGGAAGCCACAGCCCCAAGATGGCGCCTGGCTGGATGCCAGGTAGTCTGAGGTTAGCTGTAAACAAGCCTTATTTGGAAGTGCTTGATGGATCTGGTGCACTTCCTCCTTCTGTGGCCTATCGGGGATCGCCAGGTGGCATGAGCTGATGGGCTGTGAGCGCACATTTAAGGGATTGCTGGGGCAGAAAAAGAAGAGAAGCTGATGTACAAGGTTCCTGAATAAACTGCTTGAAGAAGAGTCGTGGTCGTGTTTCCTTGCTGGCCGAGGTAGACGCGACACCACCCTGTAGTGGGATATTCACTTTGCCTCCTTCTGTGGCACTGACCACACCCATTGGGGGGTGGAGCCAGGGGCGGAAGTGACCTGGGGAACTAGGTTGTCAGCCGCACAGGACAGGAGATCCAGAGGAATTCTTGAAAGCAGGAAACTGTTGGTGTTCACCTGTCTATGTTGTGAGTTATTTCTCCCTGAATAAACATCTGTTCGGCAGGAACCACAAAAAAGTGACTGCTGATTCAAGATGGACATTGCTACAGAGTTCCTGCTTCATGGAAGGGTCTGCCAGACAGTCTGCAGGACACAGAGGAAAGTGACTGACAAACTGCCAATACAAGAAGACAGTTTAAAGTTTCCTGCTTTGCTGAGGAGTCTGCCAGACACACTATGGCCTATGGGCTGAAGATGGAATATTACAGAAGAACTTCAGGTGACTGACAAGGCAAGATGTCTCTGTCATTTTTAGAGTTTATATACTATCCTTCTGTGGTCTTTGAAGGAGTTGAAGACAGATAGTTATGGTTATAGTTTTCCTTAGTTAGGATTAGGATTAAAGATAAGTTACATATAGGACTTTAGACTCACAAAGATAGGATAGATGATGGAATATTTTCTTCAAATCTTGCTAAATGTTAATGGACTAAATATTGTTAACTGTGATTCATATTTGATAACTGTTGTGTGATATATTTTACTATGCTAAGGTTAAAACCCTTCTTTTTATTTAGACAGAAAAGAGGAGATGATGGGCGATGCCGTTTTATATATATGTTTCTCATACTGGTTAATGAATAAAGCACTGCTGGCCAATAGGAAAGGAAGATAGGAGGGACTAGGAGACAAGGAAGAAAGAGGAAGTGGTAAGGAGGAGTCAAGATGGAGAACCTGGGGAGATGAGACGCCTGCCCCACCCCCTGGTAAGACTAGAGCATGTGAAAGTACTTATATTTAAAAGAAATGAGTTAATAATTAAGACAGAGCTAGCCGATAAGAAACTAGTACCTGGCCAACAGCATTGTATCAAATACAGAGTCTCTGTGTGTTATTTGGGGCCGGCACAGCGGCGGGACAAGACCGGCGGCAGGAGGAAAACCTTACTCCTTACACCACCCCCCATCCCCACCCATATTCCCACTACAGCATTCAGGAGAGAGGCCCCTACACATTGCCTGAGCTAAACAGTAGAGCTGGCCCTGGCAATATGAGTGAGGAGTACTCGGATCTAAGGGCCTAAGAGTAAGAGAGCTGGCCCCACTCCTTGCTGTAGGCTGCATTGGGTGAGCTAAAGGTAGTGCTGAAGAGCTCATCTGGTACTGATGATGAGGGAAAGCTAGCAAGCTGACAAACCCAGCCACCACCTGGAACCAGGGCTATGAGTTGTGCCACCCCAGCATTCGCCAAATCTATGAACTCTGAACCATGCGAAGGGGGTGAACCTACAAACCCAAACCAACAGGATCTCCATGACACCGGACGTCCAAGAGGAGCCCCAGTACATTACCTATGGTGTAGCAGAAACCAGAGGCCTCAGACCAGACCAATGACTCATAGCAATGAGGACTTACAAGTGAAGACATATGGACTACACGGTAAATTCTGTGACTCACCAGGCCACACTACAGATTCCATTACAAGTTTATTCTTTTTTGTTGCTTTATTTGGTGTTTATTATTATTATTATTTGGTTTTGTTTGGGGGTGAAGATTCAAGGGCAGAGGGCAATTGCAAGGGGACAGGGAGATAGGTAGAACTGGAATGTATGATGTGAAATCTACAAAGAATCAATAAAAGTTAAAAAAAAATACCATTAATTTCATTTTTTGGTCAACAACTCCTAAATGTAAGACCTATCCTAAAGTGTGGTTAATATACCTAATAAAACTCAATTGGAGAAAAGCAACTTTTCTTTTCCAAGTAAGTATCAATTGCAGACACAATAGGATTGATACACATATGAACTCACAAGGACTGTAGCAGCATGCACAGACCTTTATGGGTTCAGAAGACACTGTTTCCTTTTAATTATTCACCATGTCTGGCTCTTAAAATCTTTCTGCCTCCTCTTTTGCACAGAGGAGGTTTGATAAAGACATCTCATTTAAGACTGTGTTCCAAAGTCTCTCACTCTCTGTACATTGTCCAGTTGTGAATCCCTATATATTGCAAGGAAAAGCTTCTCTGATGATAGCTGAGCAAAGCAAAAGGTCATCAGAAGTTATTAGGTTGCTATCTTCCTATAGCTGAATAATAGTATTTGGTTTTCCCTCTAGTTCCCTGGGGATGGTATTCAACAACCTCAGCATCAGTAATGTAAATTAACCAAGTCTAGTGGTGCACACCTTTAATCCCAGCACTTGGGAGCAGATCTCTTTAAGTTTGAGGACACCCTGGTCTACACAGTGAATTCCAGGACAACAGGGGTATGTAGGAAGGGAGGAAGAGAGGAGGGAGGGAAGAGGAAAAGGAGGAATGCGGATGGAGGGAGGAAAGAAGTATGAACTTATATGGCTACTGTGCAAATCAGGATGGAGGGTCCTCAAAATACAGAGAATGAACTGCTATATGACCCAACCATACACACTTAGTTATAATACAACCAAAGGACTCTGTATCAGCTCTCAACAGAGACATCTGTACTACTCACAACAACCAAGAAATGGAACTAGCCTAATACCAACAAACGAATAAATAAAGTGTGATAAATATACACAATGGAATTTTATGCAGCCATGAATAAAGTAAAATCATAATATTTAAAATTAAATGAAATAAATAAGAACCAAAAAGACAAATATGACATTTTCTTTAATTTACAATTTAAACTTTAAATCCTATATGTGCCTATGCACATGGGCATGTATGTGTGCCTGTGAACATGTCATGAAACTAGAAAGGGAATCTTGAGAGCAGAGGAAGAGTTCTTAAATGAGTTAGAAAATAATATAATAGATGGCTTGAAGAAATCAATTATTCATATTTATTCTATTCTATCCATATTCTAACAGCCATTCCTAATATTATGCAAGTTTTTATAGTTAATTAAAAGTACTGAATTCATAAAAGTTTGTTCCTGAATTCATAAAAGATTTCTTCACTATTCCTCTGCTGAATAAAAATATGCCAGCTAACTGTTTACTAGTTTATAAAGAATAGGTGTCATAGTTAACATATCCACCCAGAGGTTATCTGATTTTTACTACAGGGTCTGCCCTTGACAAGTTGCTTGCATTTGAGCAAGCCTCCTTCCTTCCCTGGGCATTCATTTCTTCAGATAATTAAAGAATGAGAACAACTAAGCTCAAATTAAATTAAGGGATAATATTTATAACAGAACTCTCTTTCAGCTTCTAACAGAAGCATAGAAGACCAACTTTCAAAAAGCCAGCATCCAGCTGGGTGTAGCAGCGTGTGCCTTTCAGTCCAGCACTAAGGACTGGTGGCACAGGCCTACAGTGGGAGCACTCAAGAGGCTGAGACACGAACTGCAGCCTACACTTCTCATATTTTTAAAGCATAACACCAATAAAATTTAAAAGGAGATTTAAAAAAACATGCCTTTTGAAAAAATAATTGGCAAATCTCTTCTGTAGTATCAGACAGACATTTGAACCGAGGCTATTAATGCTGTTGAACACTAAGATTATGCTTCCAAATGTAATCTACTGTGCCTTGTTCCTCCCAATATAATAGAAATCTACTAGAGAACTCTTGTTTACAAAACCATAAAACATTTTCCATAAATAATTAAAATCTGTTTATTGTTGCAGGCTATATCATCAAGTGTGCTAAAGCATCTTTATAACATCATGCGACTTAAATTTCAAGAGGAAGTGCTACTGAAAATCATTACTGTTCATTCACAGTGACTAAAGGCATTCCTCGTGGTATTGGTGACTTGGAGATAAAGATATTTAAAGAAAAAATATTCATAATTCATTTCCTGAATTTATGGGCAATAAATATTTCCCTATCTGCAATCATAACCCACAATCCCCACAGACCTCTCTGTCACTAACACCCATCCATATTGAAATATTTATGCATGGCATGACACTTCCAGTTTGTTTGTCTCCAGTAGATTCAGTTCTTAAAGTAAGGTCTCTGATCATGATTTAAAGAAAATGAGGTAAATAACCAACCAAAGGCACATGTAACACAATTTATGTTGTCAACTAAAAGGAAGGCTTTAAAAGACTCTGAACTTTACAAAGTCAAGGAAAACGTTTGTTTTGTAAACTGAATTCTCTCCGACTCTGACACGGACCATCACAATCGGTAACTGTTTGCTTAAAAGCCACAGAGTGAACAACACATCTCATTGCTCTGTTAAGATAATAACATTTTCATTTATGAAGGACATTTCCTAAAATGATAAGAAGCAATTAAGACACTTGGCAAGGATAAATCTAGGTATAACCAAATACTTGCAAAGCCAAGGGCAAATCTGTCACAAACCAAGGACCTACTTGCTTCATGGCAGTCTCTCCAATTTTGTCTGAATGCTTGCGGATGCTTTCCAGAAAGTCTTTGAGGTCAGACATAGAAACATCCTTTATCTCCTCCCGAAGCTTGGGGATGTTGTCCACCATCACCTTGCAGAACCGATAGTGGCTCACTTGAGGCAGATAGGTGTGTTCCAGATGCTCCAGAGTCTTCAGGGCAGGATAGTGCCTACAAAAGAAATCAACCACCTTAGCTGATTTTAGTCTTCCTCAATTAGCTTTCATTGTGCTTCAAGACAATGTAGTGTTTTGATGAAAACTTCTTAACTATTAAAAATTATTCGGGAGGCAGAGTCAGGTGAATCTCTGTGAATTTAAGGCCAACCTGGTCTACAGAGCAAGTTCCAGGACAGCCTCCAAAATAATGCAGAGAAACCCTGTCTCAAAACAAAACAAAACAAAATAATAATATATGCTTTAAAGATTAGTAATATCCAAAAATCTGTCCAATTTGCAAACATGAATACCAATAAAATTAATTATATATAATTTTTTAATTATCTCATTGTCAAAATACCATTCTATGAAATAACCCAAGCTAGGTTTCTAATGAAAGCAGAGAGAAGAGTTGGAGAAATCATGCATGTATGTTTGTCTGTGTATGTTGTGTGTAAATCAATACAAAACAACAATTTCAAGATTTCAGGGAAATTAATGGAACTGCTCCACAGAAGTGCTACTACTGTCGTTGCCCAAGACACTTCTGTTACCTCACCTGCAGCTCCCCTGAGCCTGGTGATCAGTCATAGCAATCATTGTGAAAACCAGCAGTCTTACTGGCATTAGGAAAGAAGACATTTGGAACAAAGACTGGAAAGTATATAAAGTGGTAAAGTAACTACATATATGCTAAAATGAAAATATTAAGATTTTTATATTTCTTAATTTCTTTGAGAATATTTTAAAGTAATAATTTGACAACACACAATTGGATTCATAAAATATTTCATAAATATGTCAACAGAATACAAGAAGAGGAAAGAAGAAAATGAGCTACTTAAAGCTAGCAGTTTACATATATCAGATTTATATAGACAAAGACTTTAAAGCAAACAGCAATAAACTGAGAGGCATATTATAATCTATAGAGCAAACTCCACAAAAGCAAATCAGAAAGTACTTTTAAGGGGGCTGGAAAAATGGATCAGTGGTCAAAAGCACTGGATGTTCTGGGAGAGGACGAGGGTTCAGTTCCCAGCAATCATAAGGCAACACAACCATCCACAACTCCAGTTCCAAGGAATCTTGTACCCTCTTCTGGCCACTTCAGGAACATAGTATATGTATACACATGCAGGCAAAACATTCAAACACATAAACTAAATAAATGTAAAAAAACTAATATTTTCAAAGTCAACAAAATAAAATTATACATTCCAACATATTTAAAGCAAAAGAAGGCAGAATATTTAAAGCAAAAGAAGGCAGAATATTTAAAGCAAAAGAAGGCAGAATATTTAAAGCAAAAGAAGGCAGAAAGGAGAAATAAGAAGGAAACAAGAAGACTGGAAAAACTATGAAACAGAAAAGTCCAACCCTATCAATAACTACATTAAATATAAAAGGACTATAAATTCCAACTAAAGTGCAAACACCCAAAGTGGGATTTTAGAAAGCAGGGTATTTGTCTACATGAAACATACTTTAAAGACACAAATAGGTTGAAAGTAAACTGTGTAAGGAAACCTTAAAAATCTGCAATCAGTATTTTAAAGTTTCTTTTTATTGATTTCTTAGTGTATAAAATTGGTTTCATAACAAGTTTTCATACATTTTTCATTGCATCTTGCTCAAATTTAGTCCCCCAGTACCTTCCTTCCTCCTTCCTCCTTCCTCCTCTCACTAATCCTCATCCTCCCCTCAAATAGTCTCCTTTGGCTTTCATGACATTTGAGTAGGAAAAAAGGCTAATGTGTATAGTTAAATGTAGATTCTGCACGTAAGAGAAAATACGGTTTGCTTTCTTTCTATTTCTCCACTACCCTTTTGTTTCTCCCTCCTCACTGTTTGTATTACTTCCTCCTCCCTCAGTCAACAACTACATCATGTATGGGTTTATTATATAATAAAATAAAATTATTACGTGAAGTATATCTGTTTAATACAGCTTCATTCGTGCAGGTTCATAGCACTTTCATGTGCCATTGTATTTATTCATACATCTACATTTAAATCTAAAGATAAAAAATACAGCATTTGTCTGAATCTGACTTATTTTAACATAATGATCTCTCCATGAGCCATTTTCCAGCAAGTGCCCTGATTTCATTTTTCTTTATTGGTAAATTGTGTATATGAACCACTGTAATGTGAATGTTTCTTGTCCAGCAGGTAGGTCCCGTGTCCCTTGAACCCCAAATAAATACACAGACGCTATATTAATTATAAAACTGTTGGCCAGTGGCTTGGACTTCTTATTGCCTACCTCTGTCTTAATTATTAACCCATTTCTATTAGTCTAAGTATTTTCACGTGGTCTTATCTTACTGGAGAAGGGTCCATACCTCTAACTCCTTAGGCGGCTCACATGGCAACTGATGTCTGCCGACAGTTCCAGAATTCTCCTACTCTGGTAGCCCCACCTATCAGTCCTGCCTGCCTGGTCACGAGCCATATAGTGTTTCATTCATCAACCAATAAGAGAAATATATATACGTTAGGACTTCTCCCATCAAACCACATTTTCTTTACCTATTCATCTGGTGGCAGGCACCAAGGTTGGTTTCATACCATACTTGGCTATTGTGATTAGGGCATTTATAAACATAATGTGCAAGTATCACTGACCTGTGCTTAGTATCCATCAGGTATAAACCCAGGAGAGAGACAACTTAATAATACGACACTCTATTGTTAACATTTTGAGAATCTTCAAACTGTTTTCCACAGTGCCTATATCTTCACGAGGATCTTTTATAAAGGTCGCTTTTTTCCCCACATTACCAGCATTTTCTGTCTTTTGTTCTTGTTTTCTGGGGTGTTTGTCTGGTTTTTATAATTATTTCATTTTTAATGTTTTAAAACATTTTTATTTTTTGTTTAAGTGAGGAAGATGATAGTAATTAAGCACATGTGAGGTCAGACATCAACTTATTGAAATCCTTTCTTATGGGCACCTTTACCCAGTGGGCATTTCACTGTCCCCCAGGGATGGAATCTCAGTGTAGGTTTAGTTTACATTTTCTTGGTGGCCAAAGATATAGCACATTCTTTCCACATATTTTTAGCCACTTGTGTTTTGTCTATTCAGCTCATTTTCCTATTTATTGATTGGATGATTTATTCATTTGGTGTTTGATATTATTTAAATCTTAATAGTGTCTAGATATTAATCACCAATCAGATATACAGTTAACAAAGATTCTGTAATATTCTGTGGATGTCTTCTCATTCTACTGATTGTTTTTTTTTTGTTTGTTTGTTTGTTTGTTTTTGTTTTTTCAGTACAGAAGCTTTTGAATTTTATGTATTCCTCTTTTTGGATTCTTGCAATTGTTTCCTGAGTCCTGAAGTTTTGTTCATGAGGTTCTTACCCACAACTATACCTTGAGTGTTTTCCTTACATTTGTTTGTCTCCAGTAGGTCTCCAATCAATGAAATTATTCTATTAATATGATTTAAAGAAAATAAGTATTTCTTGCAACCAGAGAGACATAAGAAATAAAGAAAGGATACTATACATATGACAGATAGAAAAGTTTCCATAAGCATAAGAAGGCAAATCCTAAGATTCATAAATCAACAAAAAACAACTATCTGTTTGGGAGACAGAGACAGGAAGATCAAGGATTCAAAGAAAGCCCAGGCTGGACAACAGTCTCCAAAAAGTTATGCATGTAGAAACTGGCCACGGGGGCACTTACCTATAATTATAGCACTATAGACAGAGGTAGAAAATTGGCACAAGTTTGGGGCCATCCTAGGCTACATTATGAAATACCACAGTCAGAGAGAGAGAGAGAGAGAGAGAGAGAGAGAGAGAGAGAGAGAGAGAACACAAGGGGAGGAGAGGGATGAGCATCAAAGAGGAGGGGAGAAGAGAGGAGGGTGGTAGTGCATGCCTTTAATGCCAGAAGGCAGAGGCAGGAGGATCTCTGTAAGATTGAGGCCAGCCTGGTTTACATAGAGTTCCAAGCCATTCATTGATACATGGTAAGATTGTGTTTCAAAAGCAAAAGAAAGAAAATGTTTTTTACTAATATCCGGCATATACAGTAAATTTTTTTTTTACAGGTTTCTTATTGCCTCTTTATTCTTTTTAAGTCAGAGCATAGCTATGGGTTTCATTTTACGGCATTTTCCTACAATGCCATTGCACTTCACTCTTATCCATTTCCTTTCCTTGTTGTTCCTGTCTCTCTTCCGAACTTCATCTCTTCAACCTCCTGCTCTTGTATCATCCCTTCTTTCCTTCACTCACCTCTACATTTTATATCTCCTCATCCCATCTCAAGGTACTCTGTCTACTTTCATGACTTCAAAGGAAACTTTAATGGATAAAAATATATAAGTCTCTTGAATTATAGACCAATTTACATTAGAAAATAAAACAAACTAACCTAGATATTAGATAAGAAATAACTAGTACACGCACAATATTTAAGTCTAGAGTCTATATATAACAGAAAATATGTGGCATTTCTCTGGCTTTATTCACATATCACAGTGTTCTCCAACTGCATTAATTTTCTTACAAAGGATATATTTCATTTTTCTTTATAAGTGAATGAAATTCTATTGGATATGAACCACATTTTCTTTTTTAACCATTCATCTATTGATGGGCATCTAACCTAACCCATAAAGATGCGTGATGTATATACAAATGACTAATAAACTTAAGTTCATTTTGTTCTTTTCTTATTCTTATAAAACAAGCCCTCATAATGACAGGCTAGTCTCAAACTCTCCATGTGGCTAATATTATCCTTAAATTACTGATCTTCCTGCATCTACCTTGCAAGTGCTGGTACAACACACATGTATCACAGGGCCTATTTCTAAAATTGAGTCTTTACATAATGGGGTTAGATGAGCTTAGTTGGTAGACTACTTTCCAGGCATTCATGAAGTCCTAGGTTCCATTCCCAATATATACTTAGAACCCTCCTAGTACCTGAGGGCCAGAGGCAGGAGGGTCCAAAGTTCAAAGTCACCCTTGGCAACATA